CTGTGGATGCCATGTTCCATGGTAGAGCTCTGTTCCACCACATGCTCCCACCATGATAGTCTACCTTACCACAGCTCCAAAAGCAATAAAAACAAATTGTAACCTTGGGCCTAAGTCTCTAAAATCATCATCCAAAATCCAAAATACCTTTCATCCTTTTGTTTATCCCAGGTATTTTGTCATAGTAACAGAAAGCTAAGGTAGCATATCTCTCTACAGATATGAAAATTACCTTACAGTATAGAAATTGCCAGTGCCCAGCCAGTGACAGAGAACTTCAAGCCTGGAGAAGCGGCTCAGGCCTCCAAACCAGGCACCAACTCTCCACTTATATCCACTTCTCCTGGGACTTCATACTTCAGATCTCACTGCCTCCTCCCACTTTTTTCCAAATAAAGGACTACCCTTCCCTTTTCAGGCTTCCAATTCCCATATCACCTCTCTCCTCTCCAGGTCTAAAGCAGCCTCCCAGTTCCTCTCTCAGATGCTGGGTTCCAGCCCTCTCTTCCTCTTGTTCAAGTGAGCTTTGTGAAATAACTAGAACCAGGGCCAGGTGAAGCTCTGCCTGGTGTGATACTGGGGGCATGGCAGTCCACAACTCCATAACACAAAGGCAAAAACCAAGAAATGGAGGATTTCAGGTTCTATACCTGCCTGCTTTGGTACCATACCCCAGGCATGAGTAACTGGTGAGCTCTTGAGATGTGTCAAAAGCCAAATGCAGATGCACACTGTAATCCCAGCACTCGGGGAAACAGAGGCAGGAGGATGAGGAATTCAAGGCCCCATTTGGAGTACACAGAAAAAGAACAGGTCCTGAGTGCAAGTGAAGGATAATATTTTTTATTTCATTCACCCTAAACTGAAATTTAGAAACTCACCATTTGATTCCGTTATTGGAAAGAGCAAGAATCATGGGACCTCTAAGGCAGATAAATCACTTTCTTTGATTTAAATGTTCAGCAATCTATACACGGCTCTGGTAGTTCCCATGGAAATTCAGTGTCTTAGACGTGCTGTTAAGTGCAAAACACACACCAAGGGCTAAGGCTGGTGGAGCTCAGTGGAAGGGTGCTTGCCCAGCACACCAGAGGTTGTACATTCATCCCCAGTACTGACCACCCATGCACACCAGAGCTGGAAGATGGAGTAGTGAAAGTGTGTAGGCTATCTCATTATTATTTGTCCTATTAATACATGTGGAATAGTATTTAAAATACATTCTATTAAATAAAAAACATTATTAAAATGAATCCTGCATGTTGTTTTACATTTTAAATTTTATGCAGAAAATTAGAGGAAACACCACCTCTGGGTTGGTCTGTGAGGTTGTTCCCAGAGAGGTTCCACTGAGAACAGAATGTGGGTGAGACCATGCCGTAGGGTTGAGTCTGAACTAAAAACAAAGGGAAAAGGGGTTGGGGAGAGACAGCTGGGTGGTTAAGAGCACCAGCTGCTCTTGCAGAGTCCCTGGGGTCGGTTCCCAGCACCCACATGGAGGCTCACAACCATCCATAACTGCAATTCAAGGGAATCTGACAACCTCTTCTGGCTTCCACAGGCATTGCATGCATGTTGTACACTTTGCAGCAAAACACCCACACACATAAAATAAAAATAAAATGTTTTTAAAAAGGAAAAAAAAAAAAAAAGAGCAAGCAAGCTGAGCGCCAGTCTCTCTCCTTCCTGGCTGCAGACACAATGTAACCAATCACCTCTGTCCTGTCACCATGCCATCAGGGCACTCATGGACTGGACCCTTACACTGTGAGCCAGGGCACATTCTTCCTTAGGTTGCTTTTGTCAGGTATCTGGGCACAGCAAAGAAAAAAGTAAACAGCTAGCAGGCTGATCAGTGGGTAACCTTGCTCACTGCAGTCAAGTTAGCTAAGCGCAAGGCAGTGGTGCTCTGGTAAACAGTGCAGGATGCATGCCTGCTGCTAGGGCGGCAGGGCAACAGCTCTGCACCCTCACTCACTGGCAGACTTGGGCCTGGCTGTCTGCCCTCCCTTTTTGTTCCACTCTAAGACTGGATCTGACTTCTCCTTGGGCCCAAGGAAGGCGAAGACCATGGTCCACAGGACTATGAGAGGGCCGGGTCAGTGATGGAGTCTTCTGTCTAGGTTTCGTGGAAGCGCGAGGGGGGGGGGCAAAGCGGGGAGGCTTGTCTCTACAATCCCTGGGAACCCCTCAAGCGCTCACTTCTCCCAAGTGAACTCCTGAGAGTTCCCCTACTTTATGGGAGTAGACCTAAGCCCCCGGCGGGGAGAGCTGGGGGGAGGGGGGGAGGGGGACTGCCGAGGTTCCCAAGGGTTGACTAGCCAGCCGCCCCCTCTTTCTCCTCCCCGCCCCATCCCCTCCCCCGCAAGTTTTCCAGGGCCACCGCACAGCTGTCCCAACTACACCAGCTCGGTGTGCTCTGAATTGCAAAAAAGCTAGCTCCAAACAAAGAGCGGGGCCCCACCCCCGCTTGCCTGGGGCCTCTGGGCGCGTCGCGTCCCGCCGGCCGGGCAGCAAAAGACCGACGCTACGCCTGGCAGCTGGGGCGGCCCTGGAGGCTGTGAGCGCCAGGCAGACGCAGTGGCTCCAGGCTGCGGACTTTTGCATCAGAGCCCAGGGTAAGTGCAGGTGGCGGTGGGAGACGTGCCCTTGTGGGCCTGGGACCTAGCGTCCCCAGCACCACTGCCAGTCCAGAGCAGGACTCCGGCGGGCCTCGGTGGGCAGGGAAGTTGGCCTTGAATGAGAGTGGGGCAGGATCCTGCGGGACACCGGTGGTGGATGCCCGCACCGTACACAGCAAACGGGTCGGTTTGTTAGATGCCCTCCTTGCCTCTCTGCTCTTGATTGGTGTTAACCGCAGTGCTGGGCCTCTGAGAGCCTGGGCCATCCAGCGTGCCCTGTGCATGCCTGTCCCCCCTGAAAGTGCCCTCTCTTTGTCCACCCGAATGCCAGGGGCTGCCTCTTGTGTGTTAGCAAAGGCGATATGCCAAGTCCTTGGCTGCTGGTCCAGATGCAAAAGCAGTCCACTAACACCCGAAGGGATCGTTTCCAGGCCATCCGACCGCCCCACCCAGGACTGTCCACCCGGCCCCTAGGCCTTGCTGCTTATAATGGAAACCGGGCTCAGCAGGCCACATCACCTGTGTGCACTTGCTGGGGCCTTGCACGTGCAGCTGGCTGGCTCTAGTGGGAAGGAGAGTTGAGAAGGTGTCTGGTTTTCCCTTGTATTGTGCAGTGCTCACATGTGTAAACTAGCTGGGAAGTAGGAAGTGGGAGGAGGGCTGGTTGGCTTGGACAGAAGTACATCTTAACTTGGTCTAGATTGCAGAGTCCACAGGCACCAGTGTCCAGGGACCCCCAGCAGGGAGATGGGAGGGGTGTGGGAAGAAGAGGCAACTTTGAGAAAATTCCTAAGTGCACTCCAGAGTGTAGGGTGGAGGTGGAGGGGTGTGGGAGAGAATAAGGCTGGTACTGAGCCAGACTAGATGGTCTGTGCTTCATTTATGAATTATAATGAAAAGCAGCTGATGGGGTCTGGCAACCTGGGTATAGATCCGAAGGAATGTAGCGGTTCTATCTGTATCACAGCACTATTCTCTGGACAGGTCACTGGAGCTCAGTGGCTTCATAAGCACAGTGGGACCAACAACCACAGTCCTGCATTGACTCTAAGGGAGCTGAAAGGACAAAGTGGGGAATGCCAGGGGAGGGGCTTTGGGAACAGGAAGGCTCCTAGGGCAAGGGGACTGCTGGGCACAGGTGCCAGGTGGTGGCTTGGGAGCACCCTAGTGGCCTGGAGCTGCTTGGTCAGTGGTGGTAGAAGAGCCATTCGCATGCTGTTTCCTGTGACACTCCAGCACCGGAGTATCTGCCCCTTGCCTGTGTTGAGATTCTTAGTGAAGAAACTATGCATGCAGTTTCTGTGCATTTGAGGCACAAAAGGGAAACTAGCTTTGATGCTCTTCAAACACCCTGAGCACCCTGACTCTGCAGAGAGCCTGCCTCCAGAACTCAGGAGAATGAACCTGTCATCTTACCTTTATCTGTAGATACCCCCAAATGAAACAGTACAGAGCCCTCTCTACAGGTTGCACCCCAGAAAGTAGGAAGTGACAAAGCTTGCTCAACCAAGGTCACAGGTCTGGGGTATAATCTGCAGAGTTCTGCCTTTGAGGGTACAGAGACTCCAGACCCAGAGCCAGCCCTAGGGCAGGTGGGGGTTTCAATACTGAAGCAGAGTGTACCCAACACCAAGTCCCTCTTTGGTAATGCTGTGGGATATTTGTCAACTAACTTTTAACACACATAAAATATGTGTTCCTCTATCTTAAAGAACTTAAAGACAGAGCACCTGGTGGTTTAATTTTACTATCCAGCATTCTCTTTTCTACATTTTATCATTTATATTTTAAAATATCAGTTTGGGGACTAGAGAGATGGCTCAGCAGTTAAGAGCACTGGTTGCTCTTGTGGAGGACCCAGGTCCAGTTCCCAGCACCCACATGGCAGCTAACAACCATCTGTAACTCCAGTTCCATGGGATCAACATCCTCTTCTGATCTCTTCAGGCATTGCCTGTATGTGGTACACTTATGTACATGCAGGTAAAACACTCATAAAATATTTTTTCAATATTTTTTATTGAATTGTTGTGCATTTTATACATCTTAATTGTATTTAGACCTCCTCCCATCTGTATCCCCCATAGCCTGCCCACCAGATTTATACATTCTGTCATATATTTTAAGGCCTATCTAGTCAAGTTTGTGTCTCCAGATGTCTGTGGTGTGAGTTCATTCACTGGAGCTTGTTCAGCCTATCTAGCATCACTCCCTTAAAGAAGATCAACTCTTCCTCACTGAACAGTGATCAGCTAGCTACCAATAATTCTTTGGCTAAGGTTGGGGTTTCCTACCATTTTCCCAGTTCTATGCTGGGCTTTTGTCTGATTGAGTTTGCATGGGTCTTATGCATGCTGTTACCAATACTGTCAGTTCATATGAACAAGTTCCCAGAAGACTGGAAGACTCTGTTTCCTTATGGTCATGCACCACCCCGGCTCTTATGGTCTTTCTGCCCCCTGTTCCACAATGGTCCCTTGAGCCCTGGGTGGATAAAGTTTAATATAGGAGTTCTATCCAGGGACATGCACTCTGCAGTCTCTTATTCTCGGTTTATTGCCCTCTGTTGTATGATGAAGCTTTGCTGGTGAGAGCTGAGAGATGCATTAATATTCTCTCTACCCCCCTTCCACAATGTTCCATGAGCCTTAGATGTAAAGGTTCCGTTTTAGCTGTGTCACTTAGGGCTGAGCATCTCACAGACACTTATTCTTTGTGTGTGACCAGTTGTGGAACTCTGTAATAATCTCCATCTGTTGCAAAAAGAAGCTTTGATGAATGGTGAATGATATACCTGTCTGTAAATATAAGGATCCATATTTAGCATACAGTAAGAAATTATGTTTGTCTAGGGACGTGACAGATGTAGGGTTTTCTTTAGGATCTATGACTTCTCTGGCCACGTGTATTTGGCTGTGTTTACAATACCACACATGAGTTCCCTCCCACTGAGCAGGCTTTAAGCCCAATTAAATAACTGTTGATTACCCCCAAGATAAAAGTGCCACTACTGCACCTGTCCATCACTGTTGTGGTTATTAGGCTTTAAAGCTGGGATTGGACCACTGATTGATTTTTTTTCCCTCAGCAGCTTGCATAGTATCCTCTAAAAAGCTTTTCCATTCTTCCTTGCTCTCTCTTGACTTACCGTGCTGTTATTATTTGCTAATACTTGGCAACATTCTACAGAAAGATCAATTTTAAATTGCTAGGAGGGCTTCTACTATTTGTCTCTGTGGAAATGACTTTTCCGGAAATGCCTTCTGTAACAAATGGGAATCTTGCCTAACCTGGTAACCAGAGTTAGTCTTATGTTTTGAAGTCATTTAACCCTATCTCAGCTTGTATACAATGTAAAAATCTTACTAGACCTTGGGCTTCTTTTGTAAACTAAACATACAGCTTTAAGATTATTCCTTGCCCCTGACCCAGAATACTGTGCGTGTGTGTGTGTGTGTGTGTGTGTGTGTGTGTGTTGAAATTGTCAAGCGCTGAAAGCAGAATATTGTTGGAAGCAATGAACTATCCCATTTATGTTGCAAACAACATGTAGGATTAGATTAATAACATTTGTTTGTGGTTGTCTGTACCGTTCTGGGTCAGTAGAGGTCAGAAAGGGAAAATCCTCTAATAAGACAAGTTCCTCTTTCTTTTCCCATTTCATGCTGGAGGTACTGTTTCAAAAACTACAGAGCAAGTCCTTTGTTCAAGAGCATAGATCCAAGAGAAATCTAAAGGAACAAGTTCTCAGAACAGACTGGACTCACTCCTGGTTTGAACCAACACTAAGGGGTCAAGGGGTCAGGCTGTCTTGTTCAGGCATTGACATAACGTGGCATCTCTCCACCACACATTTTTACATCTTTATATTGTGCCATGCCAACTTAAAAAGCAAATAGGGAAGAATTTAAGTTGCATTTGGAATCACCCAAATTCCACAGTCACAGGTCATAGATATGTTTTGTTCTTACCAGAAGAACAGCAGTGATGCGTGGATCAAACTCAGCTGTTTTTATTTAGCTCATGTCCTGCTATACACACACTCTTCCTTCTGCCCCTGGGGAGGAAGGAAGAGCTGGAGGAAGCCATCAGGCACTGTCCCTTCTTGCTTTCTGTGTTGTCCTCATTTTGCAAGTAGCTTGCTCCTGCAGGAGACACTACATAAGAAAGACAGGGTATGCGCTTCTCAGAGTGTTGACCTTCCTTTGTGTGTCTGAAGCAAGTTGTGACCCCAACATGGACTCTCAGGACTGTCATGACCTAGTTACTTTGTCATATGTGGAATACCTTACCTCACTGGACTCCTAGAATCCTGGACTTAAAGGCAGCTGTATGCATAGGGAACAGCAAGAAAGAATGGAGATCTGCATGTGTGAATTGTCCCATGCTCACATTCATGTCCCACTGGATCATTGCGACACTTACAAGAAATGTGTTCAAAGATGAAATTGTTAAGGATTTCAAGGTGTCAACAGCAGAGCAGTACAGCCCAGTACAGGGCCCTTATGAACCAAAACCCTGTAAGCCTACACAAGTTGAATAGTCTTGTGCGACACTATTCTTAAGGACACAGAACAAATGTCTGCTCTCCCCAGATAGGGAACCAATGACAGAACAAATTAAGGATACTTCCAAAACTCATCTTGGCAAACCAATAGGTGCAGGGCTACTTACAGGAGCAGAAATGACTCAAAGACAGCAGCATCACCAAAGCCCACCGCAGCATGCATGACAGCTCATAAAAACAGCAAATCTGGAGTGCACTGCATAACGTGCAGGCATCTCAACAGGTTGGAGAATGTCCTTTCCAGGTGGCTCAGGTAGGTGGTTTGTGCTTCTTTCGGGCAGCTTGGCTGGTCTGAGAGACTCTCTCAGCAGTCCTTAAGGCTTGTATATGCTTCGGAAGGGAGGAGCCTAGTGAATGAGAGGTTTCAGGGACATCCTGAAGCTGTAAAGTTATTTCCTGAGCTTCCCTGCGGGATAGAATGTTTCACCTC